ACTGGAGCAGTGGGAATAAGTGTGTTTGAGATGGCTAGGTTGGCACAGGATAGAACAGCATTTAGAACTCTTGTACATAGGGTCGCTATGAGTCGCAAGCGACTCGATGGCCATAACAACAACAGCAAAGAAGAAAATAATAAAATACCTGTTACTACTGTGAAGTTAATATTCCAGATTCAAGTTTGATACTTCATTATAAGCTAAAATAAAGCTTGTCCTGTAATTTTTAAAGGAGCCCTGGTGGTATAGTATATATTAGCTACCAATGAAACTTGACAGTTGGAATTCACCAGTCCCTGGGAGAAAGATGGATTCCCAGCTTGGGAAAACTGATGGCTGGTCGCTGGGAGTTGGACTTGACAAGAGTGGGTTGGTTAACTAACTTTGAAAAATTTTTCCATGATCATTTCATACTGACTTTTGATATTTTTATTTATCCTTTAAAAAATCCTTCTATTGTAAGTTTTCTTTGGAATTATGTTACGTTTATGTTTTAAAGCAGAGTAGACGACATCTTTAAAATGCAGTTATCCTCTCTAGAAATGCAGTGTGTCTTTCTGTTATTCATGCCTTCTTGTAGTTCTTCAGCACTGTTTTGTTACATTATTGTGCGTGAAGTTTTCTAATGTTATTTCTGATAAGCTATTAAATTTTGAATATTTGACAACAAACTATGTACAAAACTGTTGTTAATACTGAGGAGCAGTGATGTCCATTTGAAGACTGAGTAATGTACACCTGATTCAGGCCATGATCTCTTCAGTTACTTGCTATGCATCTGACAGAATTGATGGTGTTTGGAGGAGAGTATGGAATATTTGATGGCCTTCCAGAAGAATAAACAGGTCTTAGAAAAAGTGCAGTCATAGTGTTTTTGGAGGCAAGGATGATGAAGCTCCATCTCACAGACTTTGGGCATGTTGCTAGGAGAGGCTTTTGGAAAGGACATCATGCTTGAAAAGGTGGTGGGTCAATGAAATAGAAGACCCTTGGTGAGATAGATTGATACAGTGACTGCAGCAGTGGGCTTAATTGTGTCAGAGATAATAAGGATGGCACAAGGTAGGACAGGGTTCAGCTTTGTTCAGAGTTGTTATGAGTCATACATGACTTAGTGGCACTTACTAGCAACTTACACAGAACTCTTTTTTGCACTGTCAACCTAAACGTAGGTGGTTTGAATCCACCAGCTGCTTTGTGGGAGAAATACAGACAGTCTCCTCTCATGTGATTAACTGCCTCTGAAAACCCGCTGGAGAGTTGACTATGAGGCAGTCTAACAGTACACAACAACAGTAGTTCTTCACTGTGTGCAGATATGCTTTTCAAATATATGTTTTAGGTTGTTTATATTTAAACACGCATATACAGACATTGTAGTGAAATGTGCCTCACAAGTGGGTCCATTTCTTTGGATAAGTTTTATGATTTGTATTTTCTATTTGCTCCATCTCCAGTGACAAAAATAGAATCAAGTAGCTAATAGGAATGTTAGCCATCCACTATCTCAGACAGCTCAGGACAAAGTAATGTTGTTCAGAGAGGGTAAGTGAGGGAATAATGGTATCAAATTTAGTTGAGTGCTGAAGAATTAGAAGTGTTCTGATGAGGTTTGCTATTCTTACTGTTTGATTTCCATTAGACATTGCATTCAAACAGATAAAGATTATACTTTTTTAAAAAATAGTTTTATCCAGTAGAGGGCGTGCTTGCTCCATATAGTTGCAGTTATAGTAGACCCTTTCCTTTACCAAAAAAGCATCAATTTTAAAATGTAACCCTATAATTCTTAAACCATATCTCCTTTACCTTTGTGTGATTTTAAGATAAAGTCTTATTTATTCTAACAGAACATTTTAACATAATCGTAGCAGAAGGAAGACAGAGTAATCCACTTTAGTTTTACTTTATTTGCCCTCTAAGAAATGAGATTATGTCATTCTTTTAGATGTAAGTCAGTGTCCAGAGCTGTGAAAGAACACTGGGAAGTAGGAGACTGTAATTGAAATAATATTAGGGGAGAAATAAGTAAACTTCTTAGAGAATGCATCAAGATTAGATCTAAAGCTCAAGTGGTTAGTTTATTTTTTTTTCTTAGATATAATTTTTAAATAAAGGGGAATAGTAATAACTAAACAATAAAGTAGACCAACAGACTATGATAATCTTTCATTTTGGGTTTCTGCATGGAAATACTGTTTGTAAAATATATTGCATTCAAATTTTGTAGATAAACTAGTAGAAAATTAAAAAAAGAAAAATCATATTGCATATGGAAATTTAGAAAAATTAAATCATTATTAAGTAAAAGTTCTAAAGGCAAAATCCTTCCCTGTTCTTTGTTGGTCTAGAAAGAACTTTTACATGGAACATGAAAATTATTAAAGGAAAGTTATATAAGGATGAAGATTTATAGATCCTCATACTAAGGATGAATGTTAATTAATATCTTTATTCCTTTTTTTTTAATATCTTTATTCTAAAGTCTTCAAATGTATAGTTCATTTAGCTGCTGCTTCTTTGGTTGTAGTCTTTTCATCTTTTGCTAGAGAAGATAATTAGCTCTTGATAGCTAAGTTAAGGCTCCAGTACAGATATGTGAATATCAATCTTTTGATATTCCCTGAGTATAAGACACTTGTGATACTTTCTAATGTTGAGAGTCTTTGCTTCATCATTTTGAAAACAAGGAAGCAACTCTCCTCTGCCAATAGCTTTGAAAATCATCAAAATAACTTTTTAATTTATTCATTTTAACTTTTTTATGCCAGAAGAAATCAATATAGATTTCTTGTTATCCTAGGGAAATATATTATCAGGGATTCATGTTACGTTAGGGAAATCTGCTGTCAAGGAACTCTCCCAAGTTCTAAAGAGCAGGGATGACAGTTTAAAGAATCAAGTGCACCTGATGCAAACCTTGGTCTTTTTACTTGATTTCCATATATCTGCAGGTTATACTGTGAATAAAGATGACATGAAGAATCAGTGCCTTTGAATTGTGGTGTTGGCAAAAAGAATTGAATCTACTGTGAACTGCCAAAAGAATAAGCAAATATACCTAGAAATAAATGCAACCAGAGTGCTCCTTAGAGATTGGGAATATGAAACTCTGTCTCATTTATTTAGTCATGCTTTCCTTCAGGAGTAACCAGTCCTTGGGGAGAGGCGCCATGCTGGGAAGGGTAGAAGAGGGTCAGTGAAAGAGAGGGGACCCTCAAAAGGATGAATTGACACTGGCTACCAAAGTGGGCTTGAACATGATAGAGATTTTGATGATAGTGCAGGCTAGGGCAAGATTCAGATCTGTTGTTTATAGGGTTGCTATGAAATATTGTCAACTCTGTGGTACCTGAGAACAGCAACATGTCACAAGGTGAGCAGGCTTTGTCTTGAGTATGTAACACAGATGTCCAGAAGGCACAGTTGGGCTGGTGGAAAGCAGGAATGGGACATCCCTGAGCTGTGCCTGCTTGGCCCCTCAGTACCTGAGAGCCCTCAAGGCACTACTGCAAAATGAACTGGTTGAAAACTTGTCTGTAGCTCACAAACAGAATTTATAGTTGTTGTTGATTGCATTCAGGTTGAGCACAATTCATAGCGACCCTATGAACAAGAGGCCTGAAGCCCCTCTACAACTAACGGCATTTATCAAAGTTCATAGAGTTTCTGGAGACATGTTATTTAGGAAGTAGATGCCACTCCTGCTTCTAAGAATTTATAGTAATTTAAATATATTTGTTGTCAGTTCTAGAGCTGAGCATTGAGCTAGTAGTATTAATAACTCCTAATAAGCCCAACAGGGAGTTCTGGTGGCCTATTGGTAAGGAGCTGCACTGCCAACCCAAAGGACCATGGTTTGAATCCACCAGCCACTCTGCAGGAGAAAGATGGGCAGTCTCCTTCCACATGATTAACTGCCTCTGAACCTGCTGGAGGGTCAGCTATGAGTCATTTCAAATCCAAGGGTACACAACAGCAACAGAGTGCATTATGAGAAGCTTAGATTTAATATATTTCAATTTGGAGCTCTTTTCCTGAGATAATATAATCTGACATAAAGGAAAAGTCTGCTATAATGAATTCTTTTTTTGTTAATAATGAATTCTTAGAACCGTAATTTGTTTGCTTAGCTGTATTATTGTTGCATTCCATTGAATCAAGTCTGATTCACTGTGACCCTGTGTATGATTGAATGAATCCCTGCCCAATCCTGCGTAATCCTTATAGTCCATTCTGTCTGTGACTGTGTTCGTCTTTCTCATTAAGGTTCTTCCTCACATCCTTTGCTGACACACTGTTTTCCCCCATCATGATGTCCTTTTCCAGGGACTGTCCCCTTCAGTGCCCAAGATGGGAGACATAAAAAAATCTCACCATCTTTGCTTCTAAGCAACATTCCAGCTTCACCTCTAGTATTTATTCTTTTGGCCATCAATCACCAGCACCAGAATTCAAGGACATCAGTTCTGAAACTATGCTATTTGGATTTGTTTATACAGAATATAAAAATTGATATATAATAGTGCTTTATTTAATGAATTTAGTCAAGAAAGTATTTGCCATTTTAAAAAATACTGTCATTTATAAATCATTGACTTGCAAATTGATTATCTTTAATGAAGGCTTTATTGAAAAGGCTCGAAGCTGTGAAGCCAACAGTTGGTATGAAACGTTCAGAACAATTGATGGACTATCATCGTAATATGGGTTATCTCAGCTCAACACCATCTTTAAGACGAGTGAGATCTTCCGTTGGCCAGTACAGTTCTCTTGGCCAGTATAGCCCATTAAGTAAGTATAGTCCAAAAAAATTTTTTTGATATATTGATGATGCTTTTCAATATAATTTTAAATGCTTATGGTAAGGTTTAAATATAGATTCTGTCTTGAGTGTGTCTAATTTATAAATTTGTTTACCCATATATCACTCTTCCATAGAGGGAAAGAGTTTACTTTTTAGTATATTTAATGACACTTTGCATTCTCTATTTTTTACTAACACACTTTGTTAGCTCAATTAAAAGTTTGTTGTCAGTACATTATCACAGCATAGGAAGGAAATCACTAAATAAAATAATTGGATGTATTAGTAGTTTCATAGATAATAGAAGGATCGATCTTTAATTCTAGCATATTTATTTAGGGAAAAAATAAGAGATGCTCCAAAGTTCTGAAATATTTTCATTACCTAATTAAGAATTAGCTGCTAATATATTCTAATTCTTATGTGCATTTTCTTTCTTATTGGGAAAATTAAAACAAAAATTAGCAATCTGTAAGAACCTCTTAATGCTTGATAATAATTAATGAGTTACACATGTAGACAGTTGTAGTCTCAGAGAACTTAGGAATAGAATGATTACTTGGTAGTAAGATATTCTGTATACAATAAGACCTGTCATTTACCTTTACAGAAGTCTCCATTATTGTTTCATGTGTGTCCTCTTGAATATAAAACAGAGAAACTATTGCTAAGAGTAACTTAGAAAGTTTATAATCTTAAAACCTCCACTATTCACGTTTAACACTCCATTCATTCTACAGATAAAAATTCTTAGGTACAGGGACCAAGATAAAGTCTACTGGTAATCTGTACTTAGCACTAGGCTTTGAGTAAAATAAATTGTTTTTTAATAAATGTATAAATAGTTCCATCAGTGACTTTTTATTTTTATTTGAATCAAAATAAACTTAAAAACATTTATTCCTATGTATACTGATTAAA